AGTTTTATCTGAAATCTTTTTCTAAAAAAACGTTTTAAATAAGTAAAACGACAGATTGCTTCAAAAAAAAGTTTTATCTGAAGTCTCTTTCTAAACAAAACGTTTTAAGTAATCAAAAAGACAGATTGCTTCAAAATATCTTAATTTCCTTTTTTTTATTTATTTTTAATCGTTATTCAAGCTATCAAGAAGGCTATTCAAAATTTCATTTTTTTTTCACTTTTCTTTAATGAAGTCAAGAATAAACCTTCTTTTAAGGTGCCAGTCAGTAAAGTTCAGTTAAATTCTAAAGGTTTAACAACTCTAAAGATAAACAGGCTAAAGAAATACCAGTACCTAAAAGACTTTATAAAAAACAAACTGGGTGATCAAATTTGGAAATTTTCTGCTTTACTCTAAAACGCAGTGAATAGCAAGTTAAAAAAAACTTTAGAAGCAGTTTATAAGTATACCTCAAGAGATTGAATGATTGTATCATTCTTGCTAGAATATTTTGGCAAAAGTTAGCCTTAGGACTACAAAAAGGAGAAAAGTATTATGTGTTTGGTTGATGATGGAATATGATTAGTATTAACTTTCTAATTAAGTTGTTGCAGTTGGAAAGCTTTGGAAAAAACCCATTTAATTTCAACAGTAGATGTATACTTAATTATTTAAACCATATAAAAAATGAAGGTTCGCGTAGTTTAAAAATATTTTTTAGAATTATTGTTCAGTTATTTGTCCAAAAAGTTGAAACTATAGAATATAGTTGAAACCAGCTACAAAAACAAATGGATAACAATGGAAGTGCAGCAAACTTTACATCGAGTGTGCAAAATGAGTTCTATTTTAAAGTTACAAGGCAGCCCATTTAGCTGTGAACTAGACATTATTGAAGTAGATAAAGATATGATAAAATAAAAAAAAGTTCGAAAAATAAGGTTCTTTATTTTAGGGATACAATGTAGGTCATTGTCGCGGAGGCCTATTTTGTTTAAATACATGATTGTTGATATAAAAATACAAACCTCCATCTTATGTCATAACCTAGATGTTCTATAAGGAAAGTTCCAGCAGCAATCTCTATCACATATGATGACATTTATACTTATTTTCCATTTTCAAAAGTAAATAACAAACTGTATGAATTATTTTCATACATAATGCTTAATTTTTTTTGTTACTTATAAATCATATGGTATATTATTCATAAATTAAACAGAAAACGATTTCTAGTTCTCTACTTTTCTTATATTTTATGATAATAATAATTTCATCTATTTTTAATAATGCCTTTTTTATGTCAATATATTCACTTTTATTAAAATCAAAGTAGAAGGCTAGATAATTAAAATTAAAAAAAAAAAAGATAATGATTTTCAGAATCAGCATGAAAAACTAATTAAGAAAAATTGGTTAAACTACAAAAAATCTAAAAAAAAAAGAGACGATTATGGACCCCCCTCTAAATTTATGTGGTCATAATTTTTGAACGCTAAAATATTTTATATTGCTCTATTTTTCAATGTGTGAAAAGTTTGCAAAAGAAAAGGCGATGCAATCAAAAAGAATTGTAAAAAGCACGAGTTTATTTTGAACGTGTCGATGAACATATTTAGATTTAAATAATTTAATCAAAAGTTCAGACTATTTGATGGAGTAATGCTTAATTTATTGGCTTTAGCAACTTAATTAGTTTACGCTACTTCATAATTGATTTAAATTTTAACAACTCTTGTGTGCTTAAATAACTTTGTAAAATTTTTGCTAATTGCAATTTTTTCACTTTTTTTCTATGTATATATATTAAGTATTATAAGATTCCTTATTCAAAAACTGTCGAAAATTGCGTGATGTAATTTATGGACGACCCCTAACGGTAAATTGAAAAAAAAGATTTATGTAAAAAAATGGGTCTGATTTTTTATTGGGCACGGAACCCTACAAATACTTCAGCCGGGCTGATGTATTTGTAGGATTCCGTGCGCAATAATGGATTCAAGAATTTTGGTTGGCAGGGGGAATGTTGAAATATTTTGGTATTTTGTACCACATTTGCGTTCTCTTAAAAAAAAGACCCTTGCCGAGAATGCTAGACAAAGACATTCATGTTCAAAATAGCTATACGTGATAGCTATTTTGAAATATATTAAAGAGAAGTCAAAAAAAGGAAAAAAAAAACAGGTCTTTTATGTATCACAATTCTGCATGCTTCACGATTTTCTTGAGATATTATAGCATTAAGAAAATAAGTGTGTTTCTAATATTTGCACAACAATGTCTGAAAGACTGGGAGTGATTAGGAGCATTTGATGTAGAGAATGCCCTACATCAAATGCTCCTAGTCACTCCAAAAAAACTTGGGTAATTTGTTAACTGTTGACAAGTTTTGTTAAAATTAAAGTTTTACAATAAGTTTATTGTAAAACTTTAATTCTTGCATAATGTATTAACTCTAATAACTAAAAATACATCTTTTAATAAACAGTTCACTTTAACAGTTCACAATTTAGACAATTTATAAATGACATTCACAATTAATAAAATTCATACTATTAAGAAAAGTATATTTTGAATAATAGAGTATATTATTTGGAAACTTGCTGGAGAAACACTCTGCCCTCTCCACTTGTTATCTTTGGCATAATTGTCTTATCCATAGGCTTGCTTTTTACTTTTTTTTACTTGCTTTTTATCTGGAAAAGTTCTTAAGATTAATAAATCATTTTTTTTTAACTGCAGTATTAAAGTCATCACCTCAAAACCCAACACTCAATCAATCTTTATTTCCAATGATTACTAATTGGGTACTGCAAGTTGCTATTCTTGGTTTTTTATTGTTTCTTATCTATAGTAATAATAATTCTCCTGACAATCTTATATCTGAAATGCTGACAACTTAACTTTATACTCTTGTCTTGATAAAAAGTTTTCTTATTTTGATTGCTTAGAACAGGCAGCCAATCTTGAATCTGATTTCTATTCTGTGAAAGTTTAGGGCTTAAGCTTTTTAATTTTAACTCCAATAAAACTTAGTTACTTACAGCAAATTTTCACAATATTGTTGACATTCCTACATTGATGAATGACAGCCCACTTACTGAGTCTTCCAATTTGTGTCTTTTTGGATTATCTTTCACTACTGACCTTTCATGGAGAGCATATATACAATTCATTGCAAAGTTAGCATCTACTAAAGTTGCTTCTCTTTATTATGCTTGCAATTTTTCCTAGTTCAGTTCTCTACCTCTACAAATCTCTTGATCATCCCTGAATGTAATATTTTGATTGGTTTTTTAATGAAGCTCTTTATGCTTTCGACAAGAACTAAAAATGCATAGTAAATGTAGTTGGACCTGCTCTATCAGTAAAGCTTGAGTCACTGCCCTATTGTTGTAAGGTTGCATCACTTTTTCTTTTTTACAATTATTATCATGGTTTCTGCTCAAATAAGCTATCATCTTTAGTTCCATCAACTAAAACTCTTTCTTGCTTGATTTGGCATTAAGCAAGATTGCATCTTTTTACTGTAGTTTTTTTTGTCACACAACAATATTTTGAACCTTCCTATCTTCATGTTTTCTTGGTTCATATAATCTACAAGTCTTCTGTCAACTGTTTTCTTGCTCTATAAAATATTTTTTGTTTTCTATTAGCTTTAAACTTTTTAGGGGGAGAATTGTCTTTATGAATGGTATTTTTAAAGATTTTCCAAAGTTCTCTAACACCTGACTTCTGAGATAAAATAAAAAATCAGTAATTTGAAAGTAATAGGTCTTAAAATCAGATAATATCATAAATTCCATGCAATAATAAAGTGGCATAAATTCCATGCAATAATAAAGTGAAATTTGTCCTACAGAAGTTGATATTGTGGACAAGATGAGCGAAAATGATTATAAATAAAAATAGCAGTTGTAAAAGAAAGAGAAAACCATGAGGTAATGGCTTAAAACTTCTATATTGACTAAAAACTTTCATACATTTTCTTGCATTAATCCCAAAAATTATTAAAAAGGCATAATTTTTAGCAATGAAACAAAATCATCCGTCTAACTACCATCGTGAATAAAATCACAAAAGGTAATGACAAAATCAGAAAAATTCAGTCAGCCCATCGGTTGAAGTAAGAAGTAAAATGGTAGGGTAAATCTAATGTAGAAAAAGTATAAGATAAAAGTTTTAGTGGAATTATGGCATGAAACATCTCTAGTTCTATCAACTAAAACTCATTCTCGTTTGACTTTAATTCAGCAAAGTCTCATTCGTTTACTATATCTGTCCCTGTATGCTCTAAAAACTTTTATTTGTCTAGTTTTTTTCTCCGCACTTCTACTCTTTGGAACTGTCTCCTATTTTCATGTTTTCCTGACTCATACAACTTTTAACTTTCCAATTCTTCTGTCAACCATTTCTTTGCTCTATAATTCTATTCTTTTTTTTCTAGTAACTCTAGAAAATAATAGCAGCTGCATGCAGCATTGTTGGAAGTAAATCGGAATAAAAAAAATGAAGAGAAAAAGAAGAAATTTAGCACAATCTTTATTTCATCTTGTTTTCTTTTAGCATTTTTTCACTTTCGCATCACCGTTATCTGTTTTTTTTAACAGTTGAAGCGCAAATTATAATTTAGCATTAAGAAGATAAAAGTTTGATAGAAACTTGAAATAAAAAAGTAGTTTCATTTAATGTATGGGAAACAAAACTTTTCGCTTTTTACTTTTTATGACTAATTATGATAAAGTATGTTTTTGATTACATTTATGTTGATTAAGAATCCTTTAAAAATATAATCCTGAAAATTTCAAAATAGTAAAAAGTACTGAAAAGTAAAACAGCAAAAAACATCTACAGCTGTATTGTGTAGCTTATTTGCAAGATATATTCAATAATTTAATAATTGCATGATCTTTTTTTTTTCTTAATCCAATATTTTATAGTTATTTTGTAGACTTACATTTAATAAATATTTACCTACAGTAAAAAGTGTAATATTATTGTCAAATGATATTTTATAGAGGATGAAGAAGAGTATTCTTTGGACGATGCAATTGAGCATATTGGATTTGGATTGTATCAAATTCGTCTCATTATTGTGATGGGATTATCATGGGTAATTTTCACATTTATTAATCTTTTTTCTTTTTGCATTATAAGTTTTTAATTTTTTTTAATTGTGACTTTTTAATGCCTATGATAACTATTTTAATTAAAGTTAATAAATAAAAATTAAAATTAATAAAATTTAGAAGATTATTAATAATACATTATCACCTAGTAAAGTTAATCAAAAAAGTTATTTATGAAAGATAAAGTAAAAGTAGTAAACCTCATTTAAAAGAGTTTATTTATTTCATAAATATATTTTTATGTAATCAGTATTATTGTTAATTTTATTTTTTTTTAAATTTGAATAAATAAATTCAAGATAGCTGATGCAATAGAAATGACTGCTATCTCTATTCTGGCTCCAATATTGTTGTGCGAGTGGAAGCTGAAGGATTACGAGGAAGCTTTGGTATCTATTGTAAGAACTTTTCTCATAAACTTACTTTTTAATAATCGATTTTTAATTAGTTTTGATGTTTAAAGTATTATTGATCAATGTTTCTTTTTTTTTATCTCGTGTTATCTTTCATTTTATAATAAGTGAGTATTAAGCAGTTTGAATAATAAATGGAACAAAATTACAATATAACATAAACTATATTACATGTAGTATTTGAGATATATAGTATCAGTGCTGTACCCAGACATGTCATATTGTTTCACCACTATGGGCACCAAATTAATGTAACTTAAATATTTTGTAAAACATCATGAGTTCCAACATTTTCAAATAAAGGAAAATAAATACAAAGAAATGTTATCACTTATTTTTTGGATGTTTGTAATGTATTACAACTTTTGATGTAAGTAAGCAACTATAATTACTAAAAAGTCATCAGAGATACCCTCGAGTCCTATATTTATTTCTGTTCGTGAAAACTTCTGATCAGACACCATTTTACAATATAAGTATTTTTTATAAAAAACTTCAACTTATAAATCCAAATTAATATTATTTACAGAACACACTTTAAACTATTTAATTCTTGCATGGTTTGTGATCAAATGCGCTTTTTTAACAGCTGTTTCATCATTGTTTGAGTTAGGATTATATATATTCAATATATGCTAACATAAGCTTTATATTTTGGTGAAAAATAAACCAAAAGCTCATTTTAAAAAATCAAGATTTAATATTTTTAAAGCCTGAAAGTTTTTGTTATTTATCAGTGACTGAAATAATTATTTTCTGTTTTTAAGGCCGATATTTACTGAATTTTTTTTTAAATTTGAGATATTTTTTTCTCAATAAGAAGTAAAAATTAATAAAGGAGGGGAGGGGGTAATAAGGTTAAAGCAAGTGGGAAAGTTTCCAAAAGTTAATAAATTTCTCTCCCTTGTATTAAAGACTCCCTTGTATTAAGGTAACAGAGAGTGAAAAAGAAGTTTCAAAAATTCCTTCATATCAATCAATTTTTAACAGGAAAACAAAATCAGCTATGACTTTACTTGAATTCAGCCAAAAAGTATTACTTCCCTTATAACATTATAAAGTTATGTTAATATTGTAACATAAACGAGGTTCATTGCATTATGTGCAAAATGTCTGTTATTTTTACATAAATGAGACGTTGCATTTTATGTAACAATACATAACATTGTAAAGTAATGTTATGTGCAAAATGTCTGTTATTTGTATGAAATTGAGAAGTAACATCACATAACAATATGTAACATTTATATATAATTAGACATAACATCTGATTAGTAAAATTAAGTTGAACTAGTAGAGGCCTTGTAATTAAAAATGCAATAAAAATGCAATTAAAAATTTAACAAATCTTTTAAAAAATGATAAAAGAACCGGTAATGTTAAAAGAAATTAGATTGAAAGAGTCATTTTTACATGGCTCACTTGTATATTAAGAGTGGGTTTTTTCCACTCTATGTACATTCTTTCTTTAAGCTTTAATTATAATTTGTTGGAGGCGGAAATAGTTGTTGGAGAATTTGTTGGAGAATCCATGATTGAGAAACTATTAAAACAGCATTTAAATAAATATGTTTATAAATGTGAGAGTTTTTGTCCCTTTTTATAGTGCTTGATTATTTGTGTCTTTAAGTGTTGACTAGTTTTGCCAATATAACAGGATTTACAGCGTATTCATTTAAATTTATAGACAATGAATGATTTAAAGTCTATAGGAAAGGTTTTTTTTGGCAAAAAAAAAATTTGCAATTTTCAATGAAGTGAAAATCAACTTTATAGTGACTGATTTACAATGTCTTTTAATGAGTGCGTTTAATTTTTGTTTGGTTGAACCAGGTAATTTTCCAATATAAGGAAGTTTAAAATATTGACAATTTTGTAGGTTTTTTGAATGAGATGAAATGTCAACATAAGTGTTGCTAATATAAGAGCTAGGATAAAATGCTCAGTGTTTGCCACTTTTTTGGACTTGATCTGTTTGCCATTTTTTTGGACTTAGTCTTGATAAAAATATTCATTTCTTGTTCGTATTTTCATAAATTATAAAGCTTTTAGTCTTAGCCTATAGATATAGAGTTAGCCCTTACAATGCCTCTAGAATAAATAAGCTTGCATAAAAAACTGTGTGGAATATTGATTTATAAACTTGCAATATCATAGGATACTAAGAAATGTTTATGAAGGTAATCTAAAGTGAAAGAATTTTTAGTGCAGAACTCTGAAGGTATTACTAATACCTTCAGAATTCTGCACTAAAGATATCTCTACTAATACTATAGTAGAGATAGTAGTCCTCCAAGAACTTTAGCTAATTGATAATTATAGATACCAATGAATGATACGATAGGTATGAAACTTATATTATTACCAGAAGAAATCATCTTATGTAATTTTGGAAGACCATAGAAGCGGGCTGGACAAGAACCTGAAGGATATATTTTATTATAGTTGGATTCATTAAAGAAACCTTTTTTCTTGAGTTGCTTTAAAAATTTTTGAAGTTGTGTTTCCCTGTTCAGCCTGTATCTATGACCTTCCAATAATACATGAGATGATTTCTTCTGATGATAATATAAGTTTTAAACCTATTGTATCATCTGTTTGGTCAATATATAAATTCAGTTGATAGAGGTGGATTAAAATTTCCTTTTAATAATACTATTCAATGGGTTTTCTTCTCATTTGTACTTATTATTTCTATTAAAGATAAAGTTTGTTGGACATCCCTGTGCAACACTTTTATGCTTAATACTCTAAGAACATTACTTTTATGATATGGAATGACATCGTTGTTAATATACTGTCCAATATATTTATCAAAAATTTTCTGCCTTTCTACTTTCTAATGTGGGTTTGTTGCGCTTAATTTTCTTCATACAAAACAGAAGAATTCTGATTCATCAATCCTGATGGGCAGCACTGAGTAAATTAGCAGAGAAAGTTGGGGAGGGGAAGAACATTTTGCATAAACGGCATTGCCAAACTAACAATGGATACCATACTAAGTATGTTCTACAATCTAAGTATTACTGTGTACTTTGACTCTTCAAGAGTAAAAATGCATGCCCCAACTAATACATGATACATGGCAATTAATTATATGTTGTGTAATTAATTGCAATAGGAGTAAGAGAAGATTTGCAAAACAAAAATTTAAATTATTCTAAAATTATTTGGAAAAATGTAACAGAAATATATAAAAGTTATAAGGAAAACAATAATGATTAATACTATGTGTGAAAAATTTTGTTTTTTTTTAAGAAGGTTTGCAAAAAAAGCAATTTTTACAAGCACAAATTAAAATGAAAAAAAAAAAGTACTCTAAGTTTTGTCACTCGATTACAAAAACAAGGTGAATATTGTTCTTTTCTAGATGTCTCTGAGACAGTAAAGAATCAACCTCTATACAAAAACTTTCCAAAAATAGAGACATTAATCTTGAAAATGGGTTGAAATTTGTTGCAACGTGGAAATATCAAAATAACAAGCAAAGAAATGTCCAAAAAAAAATCAAGATACAGAAAATGTTGACTTAACCTTTACAAGAAGACAAAAACAAGCAACAGATTTTACAAAAACAAGCAATAGATGACAGAAGTTAAGAGCTAACCAAAATGAAGGTGACCCTGAGCCCCTAATATAGCCTTGTTCTCGTTTGACATTTTTAGGTGACTGCTACATTAGGCTCTTCTGTGATTACAGAATTGGCCTAAAAATGTCCTAATCCGGCCCTGTCAATGAATTTTCTCATTAATACTCTTCAACTTAAAGTTGTTTTGTTAAGTTGACGGTTAATCATTGACACTTTTGCTGTTATTTATTCGCTGAAGTTTATTTATTTCTTAAATATGCTCTAAAGTTTCTATTTTATGGTTTTAAGAGTCTTCATTATCTCTTTAAAGCACTATAGTGTATTCTTATTTAAAGGTGCAATTATCCTAACAGTATTTTATTTAGTTCCATTTTTTTTACCTGATTTGGAACTTGTTTTTATTTCTTTATTTGACATTTTAACTGACATTTTAACTGCTTTTTTATAATTATATATTAATATATAAATTAATATAAATCTTACCATGTCTTTTGCATTTTTTAATATATTATAATAAGAGACATAAAATAAAGCATGATATGTTTTAAAATGAATTAAAAATGAATATGAATAACCTCCTTTACTTTAGTGTCCTCTTGACTTTAGTGGCCTTAGGTGAATGCAGTAAAAATAATATATATATATATATATATATATATATATATATATATATATATATATATATATATATATATATATATGTATATATATATATATATATATATATATATATATATATATATATATATATATATATATATATATATATATGTATATATATATATATATATATATATATATATATATATATATATGTATATATATATATATGTATATATGTATATATATATATATATATATATATATATATATATATATATATATATATATATATATATATATATATATATATATATATATATATATATATACATTGAGATATTTTGATGTTTGTGGTTCTCTCCCATAGCTATGGTAATGTAAAAAACTTGTTGTTGCTAATTGGCTTAGGTATTTGTAATGATGATTTTAGAGAAACGATAGTTAGGGATTATATTTTTTGGGAGGTTATGGTTGGGTTCAAGTAGCCCCTGTTGTGGCGCTACTTGAACCCATAGTGTAAAAAGTATGTTTCTACAGTTTTTATTGAATGTCACAAAAACACTACCAAATAAAATTTAAATTTAAATGCAGTTTTAAAAAGACCTATGTTTTTAAAACAGGAATTCTTTTTTACAATAATGATGAAATAAAACAGATATCAATGTCCGGGTACCATTTAAGGAGGTCTTTTTAAAATTAAAAAAACTATTTAAATGAATTAATACTGCAAATAATGTTAAAGTATAATACGATCTGGTATACTGTTGTTGCAGTATACTTAGTAGGGGATGTTAGGGTACAGTGGATTACTTTATTTTTTAAATTGAACAAAAGTTAAAATATGTATTTAGTTGTGTTACGGGATTCACTGTGCCCCAGTACTGGGGCAGTGTTAATAAATAAACACAGCCGTTAATTAATGATAGTGAATATGGGGTGTAGTCAAATAACTTTGAGGCTAAAGAATTAAAGGCACTGTACTTTTGGCATACTTTTATTAATTAGATTCGTTAAAATTAAAATAATTGACATTTTGAAAATTGAGAATAAAAGAAAAAGAATTGTATTGATAACAAAACTTATAAAAATATTAAAAAATTAAAAATTTATTTAAATATTATTATTTATAACTTGAAACTTATAAAATCATTATCATGTAGTTTGTTTGTTAAAAATGCATGACTCTTTAAGATCTTTAATGGGTTTTAATAATCTTTAAGATCATTAATGAGCTATAGCGAATTGACTGTACCCCGTCTCAATGTGCCCCACCATAACAAATTAAGTCTAATTTCTTGGCACGTGAGAGTTATTAAAGGAAAAGCTAAACTACTAAAAGGAAGCATAAATATCAATAATCCGAATGAAAAACTTCAGCTTTAGAAATTATTTCAACCATGATTACCTACCTAGTCAAAAACTGTGGTAACAACTATGGTAAAGATTGCTGATATATGAGCACATAAAATGATTATCATAATATCAAGATGAACAAAATTCTAATCTTTTATAAAATGCCTCACAGTGCCTCTTGATCCACTGTACCCCAACTTCCCCTACGAGAAGGTCTTTTTAAAATTGCAAAGCTAGACAATTAGTGTACTAGTACTCCTAGTACTAGTGCACTAATTGTCTAGTTTTGCAATTTTATATATATATATATTTTATTTATATGTATTTTCAATTTTATATATATATATATATATATATATATATTATATATATATATATATATATATATATATATATATATATATATATATATATATATATATATATATATATATATATATATATATATATATATATATATATATATATATATATATATATATATAATATATATATATATATATATATATATATATATATATATATATATATATAGACTGTAAAAAACATTATTTCAAATTTCTAAATAAATTACAAAGGTTGTATTTATTGGTGTTGGATTTGGAGCAATGTTTTGGGGATTTATTGCAGACCGTTATGGAAGATTCAAGGTAATGATGGTGATAAGAGTTAAGTATAAGTATAAAAATTATTTTATTATTAATGATTTGATGTGTTTTTTTAACTTTAAAAACAATAATAATTTCAGAGTTTATTTACCAGTTCTATTGTTGAATTAATATTTGGAGTGGCAACAGCGCTTTCTCCTAATTTTGCAAGTATTTTGGTTTTGAGATTTTTTGTTGGTTTTAGTGTTGGTGGAGTTTCTCAAGCGTAAGAAAATTTTGATAATTTTTTTGAAAATACAATTTTTCTGTTATTTAATTCTATTTCTATGATTTTAGAGTAACAATTACAACAGAAGTATTACCCAAAAGTAGCAGAGCAAAGTCGACTGTGTTTTTAATGGTTGGTCTGTTTTTTTTAAAGATAGTTTTATTTTTGACAAATTATTTTTATGTAAAAAATGTAATTTTTTATTTTTTCTAGTTTTTTTGGGCTACAGGCACTACTTTAACAGCTGCATTAGCTATTTTTACAGTTTCTTCTATTGGCTGGCGATGGTATTTAGCTCTACTTAATATTCCAGTTTTGCTGTTTTTAGTGGCTGCTTTTTTTGTAAGCAATTTTTTTTATTACTTTAGAAAAATTCGTCAATGACATGTTCACAGTCACAATAGAAATGAAGTTTAAAATACTCATTCAAAAAAAATATTTTTACAAATATTTTCGATATTTTTTGAAAAATACTGATTCAATAGCTAACCTGAATCTCTAAATCTGTTAAAACTATTTTTTTTTTTTAATTTAATTCTTCTTTCCAAGGTTCCAAGAGTTTTTTATTTCATTGCGAGCTAAGTGTTTTACCATTATTCTTTTACCCCATTATGATTTCTTAAAATATCTAAAATTGTTGGCTTGATGAAACATTTATAAGGTGTCCTTAAGTTCAATGGTTTAAAATAATAAATGTAATAAATACTTCTAAATATATATTATATTTTACATTATTACTTACTTTTTTTACAACATTAATACGTGTTAATGTATATTATACATATTTAAATAAATTATTTTTTGTTTTCATTAAATTATTAAAAATATTCCCTTATGTCCCTTACAAAAAACCATACAAAAAATAACAATGCAAGAACAAATAAAATTTATTAAAAGCAAACATTCAAGTAAAGAAATAAATAAAAGCAAAAAATCTTGTGGGCTTTGTAATGTAGATGATTGAAAATCTTGTGGGCTTTGTAATGTAGATTATTGAAAATCTTGTGGAACTTGTAATATGGATAATTGAAAATCTTGTAAATTTTGTAATGATATATTTGAAAATCTTGTGGATTTTGTAATGAGATATTTGAAAATCTTGTGGATTTTCAATTGAAAATTATGTGAAGTTTAAAATGTAGTTTAAAAATACCATGGAGCTGAAAAAATATTTTGGAGCTTGATTAAAATAATTTTAAAACTAGATTTAAAAATATTGTTGAATTTGTAATAAATTTTTCCAAATCACTAAAATTGAAAAAAGTGATCATTTTCCAAATGATCACTTTTTTCAAGCATTTTTTTTAGTTAGACATAGTGCGATTTTTATAAATACTCATAAATAAATAGATATTTTATTCATTTATTAAGAAAATAATAATATTATTGTAATAGTGCATGGAGTACTAAATACTGGTATTACTAGTATTTTGGTAAACAGTGACGTATCCAGAAGTTATTTGGGTACGCCATTAAAATTATACTGGTACCATTATATGAATTTTGTAGACTTTTTCAGGACTTTGTTTTTTAATGCTGGTGCTTATTCATTTGTACTTGTGGTTTAATTAGTTACAAGTAAAACAATTAATTGATAATTGTAACTACTGTATTCAATCACAATTTATGCTGATTATCGACAATGGAGTATTTTGTATATACTTTTATCTTATATTTTATATACTTGGTATACTTGTTGACATTTGGTATTATTTTTGTATTTATTATCTGAATACCAATATTAATACTGGAATTTTTAATTTAAATCTTTTGATACCTGTCTTATATTTTTCACTATTTGTTATTTCTTTATAGACTAACTTTTATTTTAAATGAACTGTATATACTTTCCAGAATGCAAAGAACTTATGCAAAAATTATATTCATTATTAAGTATTGGAATTTGGGAGCTCAAAACGCTATACCATTGTCAAAAACAGTCTGGATACGTTAATGGTATAATGGCTTTTGGTATTACTGGTATTTGTTTTCTGATTACTGATATTAATACTGGAATTTTTTTCTTAAAAGAAATAAATTAAGAGTTTCTAAAAATTTATTGAATTATTTAATTTTACAAATGAATTTATTCCTCGCCCTAAAATCATCTTGACTTTATTGTAATGTACTAATGTTCTGTTTTGTTAATTCGCTTGTTTGGTATTTGGTTAATTTGCTTGTTGGATATTCTATTGGCAAGTATTTTTTATGAGATTCTTTTAATGTAAATTTTTTAAGGATATATAATGTCAAAAGCATTTAACAGATGTAAATTTAAATTAAAAAAAAAAGAAAAAATCAATTAATCATTTGTACTTGTGGTTTAATTAGTTACAAGTAAAACAATTAATTGATAATTGTAACTACTGACTATGGTTTTATAACCCGTTATAAAACCATAGTAAGTAGTTTTAGACATAATCTATTAAAGTAAATCTCTTCAAAAAACATAACAATTGGTACAGTTTTGGTACAATTGTTACCTTAATTTATAGGGCTATGTTGCCAGTGCACTGGAGCTGCTGTGATAAAACAGTATGGACAATTTATAAAGATTCCGCATCAATTGTGAATAGCCCTTGGGATACAACTAGCTGTTCCTAGAAATGATTCCAAAAAAAATTGGTTTTTGTACAAAAAATGGTTCCACTAGGGAGTAAGAAAATGAAAATAACCCAATAGTATAGATGAAACTTTTTCTGATTCTAATGACAAAACTGAATTTGATTTAGGAATAAATGGTCAATTCATATTATGTCTGAAATTTATATTAATAACATTAATATTTATTCTTTGATAACAAAAATTAGAAAAATCTAAACTTTCAAAAAATTTACCTCTAAAAATGATTTGATCTAACAAAAACATGCAAAGGGTATATTTAGAAAAAAAAATCCTCAATTTTAGATTCTAAAACCATGTGGAATAATCTCCCAGGTGGTTTAGTGATTTTAAGGTCTAGTGATTTTAAGATAGTCTATGGTCTAGCGATTTTAAGAATTATATGATTGTGTCCAAAAAAACTTATTCAATTTAGAAGTAGACTTTACCTTTTGTTCTAAAAAAAAATTTTATTTGGTGTTATTAGTATTGGTATTATTACATTTCAACCAATCAAAACAACAGCATTTATTTTATTGTAAAGATTTTTTTTTTTCTGTTTTTTTTTTTTTGTATTCAATCACATTTATTATATATTTATTTGGAGATTTAAATTCTATTTAAGTGGATGCCTGAATCTCCGAGGTATTTGCTAATTTCAAATCGGCACGAAGAATTGTTTGCAATGCTTCAAAAAATGGCAAAATTGAATGGAAAAACCTTACCTCCAGGAAGTTTAGTTAAAGAGGAGCATAGTGTTAGTTTTTTTTTTTTTTAAATAAGTTGTAAGTTTCATTTTAGCAAGTTGCAGTAACTTGATATTTCATTTTAGACATTAAAGAAAAATGTTTTTAGGTTAATCAAGGCAAGATAGTAGAGCTTTTTTTGCCAAAATGGCGCTGGACGACTGTGAAACTGATGTTTATCTGGTTATTTTTTGTTTGTTTTTTAAATTTTGATTGATATTTTGCTATTGTAGTATCAATCCCTAATGGTTCTTTTTTGAAAAAATATATACTAGAATATGAGAATAATTTTAAAAAAATTATATTTTTTGTATTATATCAGCAGCGTATAAATGTCTAATTAATAAATTGGAAATGTTGTCAATTTAGGTTGTTTATTTTTAGTAAATTTACAAATATTAATTAAGTACCTAATGCTGATGATCACAATAATTATGTTTATAACAACTAAAAATAACAACAAAAGTAATAATATTTCACTTGTTTTTATAAGTATGATAGTTATAAAATATATATAATATATATCAAATGCATACAATAGTATACAATTAATTTTTGAACAAAAAATAAAATAAATTAACGAATTTTTGATTTTCAAACCTAGACTGTAATCTTTTTAAGACTTTTTATCATTGCAGGAAAATAATATGTACATTACTATATTTTTTCTTGTTTTTTTGAAGTCAATTTTGTTGATATTTCAATAAATTTATTGTAATTTATATAAATCTAGGTTTGTTGCGTCTTTTTCATACTATGGAATAGCTTTATTGTCAACAGAAATCCTTCAAACAAACATTAATGGGTGTAATCCGCACTTTATTTCTAGTATGTGTTTTTACAAAGCTTGTTTATTTGCTTATATTAAATGTGGTCAGTAAAATGGCATAAACCTTTTAAATTAAAAATCAGGACTGCATAAAGAGTCCTTTATATAAATGATATTCTTTAGTTAAGGGAGAGCTGGTAGGATTCATACACTTTTTACATTAATTCATATTAAAGCAAAACCAATAACTATTTTAAAATAATTTGCTGAATTACCTACATATCTTTAATGATGTTGCAGTGTTGATACAAAGGAACATGGCAATCTATGATGAATTTACAACATTTAGCATTTGTACATAGAGTGGCTTCGTACATAGAGTAGGTTACATTAAATAGGGAGCCTCCTTACACAGTAATTTTAGAAGCTATTTATTGAAATTAAATATATATTGAGATAAAAATTGAAACAGAAAAAACATTGTAATATATAATAATATATTTTTTACAAACAATTTGTTAAAATTTAAGTCATAAAATCAACATTAAACATCATGGTAACACATAACAGATAAGGAATCTATTACTGCACTTTATACATTGAAAGACCTTTTTTAAATATAAATATATTTGCTATTCTTACTATAGTAGCACATTTGGTTGGGGGCAATATGTAGACTATGTCAGATAAAGAAACCATTCTTATACCATTCATTAGGAAAAATAAATTTCCAGGTACCCAGCTTCTTTCTCAGAAATAAAACTTTATATTTTGTAGGGTTGTACTTGGTTGCCACCTGTCCAATATAATGTAAAACAGTCCTTTTTTCTTCAAATTTCACCAACACAGCTTTTTTCTTTAATTTTTTTCATCATAACTGAGATGTCGCTCTCAGGATCATGTTCTTTAGAAATTTCTTCAAAGTGAGAACAAGAATCTTCTCTTCAACTTACATCGGTATTATTTTCACTATCAGTTTCTATAGTTTTCTTCTGATTCTTTGGTTTGGTTTTTTGAAATTTGTCTGATAGCGAATTTAATGTGTGTTTTATCTCCTTAGCCTTTTGTTTTCTCTACCTATCAGGGTTTTTTTCCGGTAGTATCTGTATATATCCTTGATTTTTTTGGCAATTTTCTTTTCTTCATCTTTTTAGGTGCATTCCTGTCCACATTAGAGTAAAGTCAGATAATTTCTGTTAGCCTTTGTGCATGAGCAGTCCTCACACACACATAAAAACAAAATGTGTCAACATGTAGAATAGTGTAAATATAATTACTGTATGAATGCTCCCACCATACAAATCGTACCTGCTCTCTTCCCTACAACAATGTGTTTTTTAGACTCTACAAAGACTGTTTGTGTGAGACTAACCAACAAAGATTATGTTGATTTTATGTGGACTTGTCTCGCTGAATTTCCAGGTTAGTTATTAACTTTTATGTAAAAAAATGTATTTAAATTAACTGATTAAAAAATGATGATGATGTAGACGATGATGATGGCGATGATGATGATGATGATAATGATAATGATGATGATGATGATGATGATGATGATGATGATGATGATGATGATGATGATGATGATGGTGATGATGATGATGATGATGATGATGATGATGATGATGATGATGATGATGATGATGATGATGATGATGATGATGATGATGATGATGATGATGATGATGATGATGATGATGATCATTTAACATATGATGACTTTCTTTTATTTGTTACAGGACTAATAGTAACAATTTTTTTCTCTGAATCATGCAGTCGTAGAAAAGCAATGGTAATCTTGCTTGGAGGTTCAGCTTTTAGCTTTTTATTGTTATCAATTTGTTCTTCAAGGTTATACATTTATACTTTAAAGTTTGATTAATAATTATCTAATTTTAGTTATCCAACTTAAAAAGTTACTATTTTTATTTTTCAAAGACTAATTTTAATATATTTTAGGACTATTACATTAATAATTTTATTTGGTGCACGAGGTCTTTGTTCAGGTGCTTTCCAAATTGTTTACGTGTATACTCCTGAGGTATGTTTTAATGTACATTTTTTTTATTAGTAGACAATTTTCTAGTCAAAATTGTTTTTAATTTTGTTTTTTGTTGTGTTTTATTTGTATAAAAACACAATAAAATGGTTATGTGTAAACCTATCTACTAAGTAAAGGATTGAAAAGCAAAGTTGTTTAAAGAAACTTTTGTTAAGCTTTGATTATATGTTGTTTTGTAGGTATTTCCAACAAATGTTCGTGCTGTTGGGTTAGGTTTTTGCAGCATGTTATCAAGAGTTGGTGCAGTGATAACACCATTTGTAGCCCAGGTTAAACTTTGTTTTGTATTTTTCAAATAAATAAGTGAATCCTCCATTTGCTGCAGTTGTTGGGGTTGAGCAATTTACTAATTTAATTATCTTGCATTTTAAATTTTTTTCTTGTAACTGATTTACTATTAATTTTATTTTGGGTTTTTTAGGTACTTATATGGAAATCATACTTTTGGGTTATTGGTGCTTATACAAGTTCTCTCCTTTTTGCCGCCATATTTGCGTTTTTGTTAAATATTGAAACAAAAGGGAAGTTGCTATTGGTAAGTTTTTCAATAAAAATAAAACAAATTCTTAATGTTATCTAAACAGTACTTTGTTATTGTTGTTCAAAAGTCATTTTGTTAGCTTTAAAAATTTAATTTATCTTTGTATATATATTTTGTTCTTTGTATTTTTTTTTATTTTTTCAATGTAATGTATCTTGGTAGTTTTTTTTTTTGGAATCTCACAAATTAATACCGTTTTAGAATAAACAACTACTCACTGTTAGGATTCAGACTATCTTAATTGTAATGATAGCGATAACAGAAACAATAACTATTGTTATTGTACTAAGCTTTTAAGAAACAAAAACAATATTTATTATTTTCTGTTGTAATATTTTAATTTAGAGTTTAAAAATACAAACCAAGATAGGCTTGCCCATATGGTGGAAAGGTTTGTTGGGTGCAATCAGCCCCCTTTTTTGTAACAATTGTCCTTTGTTTTTGGACAAATTTTTTTAAAAACAACCCCCTAAAAAGTTTAACGGTATGGGCTTGATAGGTGATAAATATGTTAAAAATATAGAAACAATTATTGTAAAGAATTCCCTTTTTTAAATATTACCACAAAAATATTGTTCACATGTTTAGAAAATCTAATATATAAATACCCAGGTCACAAATTTCCTGATTTATATATGTAAATAACTGCTAAAAACGGACCTGAATTTATTAGCACAAAATAATAGTAAACGAAAGAAGAATGTAAATGCATTAATATACAGTACCAAAAAATGATATTTTTATTACCTCTCTATTACAATATTAGAGAGGTAATTTTTATTACAATAAAATATTTTTGTATTGTATTTTGTTATTGTATTTAATTTTTACAATTGCATTCTCTACTCACTGTCGCCTATTTAATTTAAATTTCAAAATTTATATCTTTAAACCACTGATCTTAAAATATATATGAGATCAGTGGTTATATTTTGAGATCAGTGGTTTAAACATAAAATAATCATTATTTAAAAGAAAATGTTTTAATGTAAATATATACAAAAAGGTTAATAGTCTTTTTTTTTTTTATTCAGTTTTTTGTTTTATTCAGTTTGTTTTTAACCAGTCATAAATAAGGAAATTTATTAGGATTTTTTATGGTTCTGTAAAATAAGAAACTCAGAATTGAAGAAAAATATTAGAGTAACTTTTTATAAATAGCTATTGTGGTGTTTTCAACAAAACATTTTTTTAACTATTATTCATAAAAACTACAATTTCAATAACTACAGTTAATAATATTGTTTTCTTTTAAATTAATGCTCTAATGATAAGTGGTCAAATGATAAATCATAGTACATAGTTACGCATTACGTTAAATTTTCAGCGACAACTGATATTTAAATTTCTTAGCTCAAGATAAAAATTTATAAAAATAAGTAAAATAAACCGTGCTTCCTAACTATTTAGCTAGTGGTTACCGTCGATGGCTACAGGCTAATCATCTTGGCCCACAAGCAGGGACGAATCTAGCATTTTTTTAATGTTTGAGATAAAAAGCCCTAACATCTTTGGCAACCTCCTTTTTTTTACTATTCTTAACTAAATATTTAAATTTAAGTATTAATGTTTAAACTACAAAATGTTTTATCAACTTCTTGCTCTCACGTTTGGGGGACAAACATTTGGGGGATTTTTATGTTCCCAGGCTCCAATAATTGCAATTTTTCGCAAAGCATTCTTATTTAACCTAAAGAAAAAAATATAAATGTTTGGAGTTGGGTTCACGTCTGGTTAATTTCCAAAAAATGCTGTATCCACCCCTGCCTACTAGCGTACATTATTTGTAGACTTGCTTATATATTTTTAATTAATATATTTGCTCTATAATTCATCTTGCATGTTTAACATTATGCCCTCCATTGCCTTTATTTTATTTGTATGTTAAATGTATATAATAGCGATATAACATTTAAACAATACTTTTTAAATTTTTAAATGCAATTTACTACAGTGTTATAACATCTTATATAAAATATTAGGTTGATACATAACTATTGCAGATTTTTTTAACAAGTTTTATTAAGCAAGAAAATATAAAAATATTTAATAATATCATGTTTAAATGATTATTGTAGAGTGCAGTCACTTCACTTCATCAACTTCTAAGACTGCTTCCCATTTGCTTTGCAGTTGGTAGATTCCACGGGCAAAGAAATCGTGATTCTTGGAGGCAATCCACACTTTAACCTTGGCTACCAATTCATCCAAATTGTTGTAAATTTTGTTCGTTTGCCAGTTTTTTAACGACCGATTGACGTGGTAGTCTGTAGGAGCTTCGTCCTGTGAATATGGTGGATGTGGAAGCAGATCCGTCTCTTATTGACGGTTGTTTCGACGACACAACGATGAACATGAGAATTGTGATGGAAGACAATATGTTTCTTTTTTTGTAATTGTTTTGCTTCAATCTCAGCGTGAATGCGGTCTAGTTGATTGACGTAGCTGTTAATGTTGAATTGCAGCTTGCCATTTTTATACGGAATTCGCAACTGATGGCTTTCATCATCGCCATTCCGCCAATAGCAAATTCCGTTTGAGATAATTTCACAGTGGATGATTTTGCTTCTGTCCCACCATACACACCACATAACCTTCTTACAGTGGACACCTTTTGGTATGTCCCACCGTACACACCACATAACCTTCTTACAGTGGGCACCTTTTGGTCTTCCTTTTGGAGAAACACTCGGAGACACGCAAAATTTCTTTCTTTTGACGTTTTTAAAGAATAGTCATCATTGACCGGTGACTAGGTTCTTCAAAAAAGGAGCTTACTCATTTCGTTGTAATAAATCTGTAAAAGTACGTACACTTTCTGCTTTATTGTTGTCGCTTCTCTGAGCCTTTTGATACAACGTATGATTGTCAATTGGTTGATATTGAAGTCATCGGCTAGTATTCGTGTTGTCAGGCTTTTGTCTTATTTCGCGGCCGCTAGAAGGACCTAGTCATTAAACTCCAAACTTTTTTTTTCTTTATCTGCAAGGTTTGTTTAAAGTTCACTTTTGGAACTTCTTAAACCATCTTTTGCTTTTTGCTTAGCTTTTGTTGATTGTTCCCTCGCCGTTTGTTGAGACAAAATGATTCTGCCGTCTAATTAATAAACAAAACGTCAGTTTTTTTAAGAAAAATAAGATGCGAAAAAAAAAATTGCAATAATTAACTATGCATCAACATAATATGATATCATTATGACAACATTAAACTTTGATGTTTAAAACTTTACTTATATATATATATACGAGTTTTTAAAGATTTTTTTCTTCAGAACTTGCAAAAAGCGCTTTAAGGTTAATTTAAGGCTTTAAAATGCCAAATTTTAAAAATTTGTGTAGATGGTTGATTCATACGCACTATTAAAATGATCAGTGAAATTTTAGGAGTATTCACCTATATATTCTGGCCGGCCTGTTGTCAGGTGAAAGATTCTACATTAATCTTTGAACAACAAATTTGTTTGCAATTAATGAAATGAAATTTATAAAAACATTTTATCGCAGCATTTCATATTGTTTTTGTATTGTTTTTTTAGAATTCAACTCTTGATGATATACAGCTAAATAAAAAAGAATACACAGAAATCTCAGATGAAACCAAATATCTTTGTGAGAAAGAAAATCTTTCTCTATGAAGATAGAAACCGTGGATGTTTATAATGACGTAATCGTGTCGTATCAGTGATTTTGTATGACTCGGCTTTTTTTTAAAAAAAAATTAGGATAAAAATAATTAGAGATATAAAAATTTTGTTTCTATTCTTTTTTCTTTTTTTTAATAACTGAAACTCAGTAGATGTTAAAAATCTAATGTTTTTATATCACCGGCTGCCGAGT